TGTGTGTATTTTCGGAGCGGCGCTTCGTACAGCGGGAGTGTCACGGCGGACAGAGCGCTCATACCGAAAGGGTTAAACCACTTGGTTATATTTTTTCAATAACAAATTATTTACAAGAAGTAGTGAAACGTCGGCCTCAATTATGCATCGTTTCCGCGATAGGTTTGTACTGCGTGCAAATTTTCTTCCAAGTTATCTGAAACCAACAATAACGAATTTTTAAATAAAACAGTATTTTATGGAAACTGACACAGGAATTTTTGAAAAATATTGAAATTTGACAAACTAACAAATATTGAAAATGACGGCACTTTCAAATGTGAAGTTGGTTTTTCACATATTTTTTCAAGTTCAATGTGCCCTAAAAATAATAATTAATATTTTCCAAAATTTCCATCGTCAGTTTCTAGTAAAAACAATCTATTTTCGAAAAATCATCAATTCAAGCGAATCGATTGAATAGGCCTTGAGAAATATTGTACGCAGTGCCGAAAGAATTAATTTCGAGAAAAACTCGTTTAAAGTTTTGTGAAATAATTACAAGCAATGAGCAAAAAGTTGTCAACTTACAGCTAGTCTGCTATTCCGGAACCATATAATAAATTCTCTTCTTCCTCGAAGAACCCTTGTTGTTGTTGTTCTTTGAGTTGTTTGACTATTCTACCTTCCTTCGATGAAATTGATGCTCGGACGTTCGCCACATTGATGCGTCATCTACTACGGTTTTCGACGAACTTCTTACTTCGGAGGCTTACAATGATACTAAGGACGTTCATTAATTTTAAAATTAAGCTGTATCTCTCGTTGAATACTACAGTCGCCAAATAAGCCACTAATTCTATGATTTTTGAACCGCTGTGTACGTGTTTTGGAGCCAACATCCAAACGTAGGCTTTGAAGGTGTCACGTCCTGGGTACCTCGACAACAACGAATTCTTTTTTTTATTTATGATTGGGAAATAGATGGATTTGGGGCAAGCGCTATTGTAAAAAGGATAATATTACGATGGCACGCCGTCAAATGCGCCATGTGTTTCCTAACGCGTCTATCTCTTTTTCCGCCTTCACGTAAGATATATGGTCTATGGATCGGCCCGATTCAGGCCCTTTGATGGGGTTAGGATCTTGGGATTGTTTATGACATCCTGATTTTCTAGTATATCCGTCTCACAACCTGGATTGGGAAACTTCCCAATCTTCCACATCTTTTTCCACGAAAACTGCCCTCATTGGTGATTGTTATCTGCTACTCTCAAAATCTTCCCTATAAAAGCTTTTTGCCACAAGATGCACTTCCTTTTCTGCTGCTGAACAACTCGCTGTGCAAGACGGGATCTCTCCAGTAAACTATTTATCTCGATATTTCGGTAAATAGTCCAAGTATAAGAATCTCTCAATATTTCGACTCAACCGTCGTGAGTGCAATTGCCATCCAGCCTCCGCAAACCGAGTCACGAGGCGATAGCCAGAGTTAGTCCTCAGAGACCCAAGAAAGGTTAATATATCACAAGTTAGCGAGTAAGTACTCAGCACAATTTATACTCGTCCCACTTTCCTTCCGATCTTTTCATTTATTAACGCCCCTCCTTATCGTAGTGAATACTCTACGTGAAGAAGACAGGCTTCAGGCCCTTGCGTTGACCGGTAGAGATCTCCATGAGGCTAGCGACGACACGCTAGAAGCACAACTTAGGTGTATTTCCGAGCTAATATCCTCAAACGAGAATACGTCATCAACATACTGGTCCCCTCTCGCCCCTTCCTATTCATAGACCCTCTTCCTTCTTCCTATCACCCACCAAGTTCCCCTTCTGCAACACTACTCTCCCTATTGTTCTCCACCCCGTGGGATACACCTCCCACTTCCCCCGGACCACCGTGGTACCTCAACCCACCTTCGCGTTCCCCGTCACCTGAGCTACGAACCCCAGACACATCTCCAGCTCCATCCGACTCTTCCGCCCCCCTCCCCTCCTTTCTGACCCATTTACCTCTAACTCCTTACCTTCCCCTTTAAGGTTTTACATCCTCCGCTAAATATACACATCCGACCAAGTACCAACGGATTGTATATTCATCACTTTATTTTTTAATGTAATTTCATCTCTACGCTGTTGTTAAGGTGCCCGAACACTGTAAATGGCGATATTTCATATGGTTTTTATTTTATTTATTAAAAAAAAACGGATTAATCGATTTACATGTAACTTTACACATATGTTTATGAATGTTTACATTATATGAAAAATTTTTTTTTATTTTTTTGTGGCGGCCATTGTTTTTTCTGCAGCTAATCTAAAATTGCGTCTTTTTTAAATGACCCTTGGGTGGTTGACAGCATTCCAGCAAAACGGAGCGTCCTAGGGCAAAAAACAAAAAAGATTCTTTAAAAATATATTACTGGCTATGGCCCGACGTAGAGGATTTTGAAAATTGTGATTAGAAAAAAAATGGCGGCTATTTTAAGAAAAAAAATTTTTTTTGCGTAAATTTTTGCACTAAATTGTTTATAAAAAAAGTATGGCATGTATCAAAAAACGGCTACGTCATGCCATAGCGACACGTTTCCTCTACAAAATCCGTTTTGAATCAGGTCGATCGGATTAATACTGTTCGAGTTATGCTGTCAACGCGGTCAAAAAACATGGTTTCGAGAAAAACGCGTATTAAGTTTTGAAAGGGGTAAATCGAATGAAATAAGGTAGAAAAAAAGGTCTTAAGTGTTTTATTTTATTAATCTGCTATCCCTGGACCGTATAGCAGCTCTTCGTCATCCATAGTTTGTCTTCGAAGTACTTGCTGGGCATGCAAACGTCCTTCGTGCGTGTTAGCCTGTGTATGACGATTCGCGTACTTTATGCGTTCTTCGTCGATTTTTGACAATAATCGTAGAGATTCATTCCAATGCAAACTTCCATGAGTTCTAACACACGGAGAAGAGCCGTATGACCATTATTAAATATAATAGTAGCGATATTAGCTGCAATTTGTACAGTTTTGGCTCCACTAAACGTAGATTTCGGTGCGAATTTCCAAATAATATTGTTGAAGCTTTCGTTGTTATTTTGATTGAAAGCACCTACGCATTGTTCTAGAAGATCATCACGGCTGAGATCGGTATATATAGGCTTGATAGCGTCTAAAACTTCTTTTGGTAGTGTAGGTTCGTGTTTGAAATCTTGAAGCTTCCCGAGCGCACGAGCCTTTTGCCACTGACACCAAGATTCCGGCCCTTTCGAACAGTTTTCGTGCATTGGCTTAGAATCGGTCGAGGATTTATGTAAAAACGTTGCCCATACGTCTTTTTACATTTCTTCTAAAGAGTTACTATTGCGCCTTATAGCGAGCCCGTAGTAAAGGGTAAGATCCTTAACAAGTTTGTCAGTAAGCTTACCCCTACATCCAATGCCTTTTGTTGTTTTTTTGCAATTACGTAACCTGGTCCGTGTGCGCTTCTGCACATGGTTCACGCACTCTTTTTTTGTCACATCATACTGTACATTTTTTACGACTTTGTTGTACGTCTTAGAATCGCCATCGCCGATATAGCAATCGTACTTTACCTCGTGTAATTCTTTCGATCTTTGAAACATCTTAACCATTGCAAGCGGCTCCATATTTCCAGCGGGACCAACGCGTCGCACGTTTCCTTATGCTCCTCATACCATAAATCATACTCTGCTGTACCTTTTTTATTTTTCCACAAAGAGCACCCATGACAATGTGATGATTTAACTGTAAAATCAAGCACTTTGTTACTATGATGTCCTATTAAGGATACCACGCCATGTAAAGAGCTGAAGCTTCTTTTTCGCCAACTGCCATCGCCTGAGACGGTCAGTCCGACTGAATCTGAGTTTTTCTCTAACGTTAGCCGTCTTTCTTCATCACCTGCACTTTTTATTGACATATTTTTTACTTTTTCTGTGGCGCTGCTAACGATTTCCGTTAAGTCGGCATACGTTTTCGGAAATAGAGGCCGAGGTAGATCCATAAAGGCGCAAAATTTTTTGGCTCCGGCTTGTGAGACACCAAGCATCCTCATAGCAAATACAAACCGACGATTGACTTCGAAGGCGTTTTTTATAGTAGGGCAAGAAGGAATTTTCGTTGGCTGACACTTTTTACACGTCGCTATTAAATTGAAACCCAGCCCTCTGCTAGCAGTTTCAGTGAATTCGACGTCTCCCCCACATGTTTTACACTTAACTACTTGGCTCAGCTTTGAAAATACCGATAAAAAATTTATAACTCTATAAGAAACACTTTGATCAATCGGCACATTCAAATCGTCGAAGGAAGTATTGAGCTTCTGTTCAGACGTACTAGTATTAATTGTTGCTGTCTCGGCGACGTATCTATTTGCAGGACCAATTCGCCTTTTCTTTCTGTTTTTCCAATTCTCTCTTACCAATTTCTCTCTTCTTTTTATCGTCTTTCCAGCAGAGTGCCTCTTACCTCTTTTATCCATTATTTAAACAATCACAATGTTTTTAACTTTCAAAAACACGTAAATCAAAACTTTTGTCAACAAGAGCACGTTGTGTTCACTAAATTTAAGGTTATATTTACCATACGCGCGCAGCGCTCCGAAACGCCCAAAAACGCTCGGCCAACACGTCAACGCCTGACGCTCTTTTCAAATACTTAGAGTTCGAATTTTTACTTGAAACTTTACATACATGTTCTTCGATGTCTAAACTATTGATTTACAAAAAAATAAAAAATCGATTTTTTGAAAATTTTACAGTGTTCGGGTCCCTTAAGTTAATAAATTCTAAATTGTTAGTTCAAATTCTCATTCTATTTTTAAACCATCGTGCACTCACTATCCTTTCCCCAATTATTCCGCTCGCGGTCCCATCCCAGGTTTCAGTACCCTGACCTAAAATAGGACCACCCTGCGCCCGAGTCCACTAGAATAAAGTGACCCTTTTGGTCTCTGACCTGCATCGCCGGCATACAGGTACGTTTGGGACTAGCGTTTGCGAATACGGTCGTTACGTTCTCTTCCAGGACGTAATAAAGGTCTCGTTGTTATTTTGAGTGTTGCCTCCAAGACATCTTTTTAACAAATCGTTGTTCGAGACGTCTTCATAAATAGGACGAATTACATTTTGAATTACAGAGTTCAGCGAAGGGTCATCTTTGAAGTGTTCCAGTTGTCCGGTTGCTACTGCGCGCTGCCACTTGCACCAATTCTCAACTCCTTCAGGACAATTCTGATGTTGTGGATTTTCGTCCATGGAAATTTTATGCAATAATGTTGACCATACAGCCTTCTTCATGTTTTCTACAGAATCAGAATGCCGTCTAATTGCTAAACCGTAGTATATTGTTAAATCCTTTATTAATTTGTCCGTTAACTTACCACTTCCTCTGTCTCCAATGCCTTTATTCACTTTCTTCTCCGAACAAAACTGAAATCCCATTCTTTTTTGAACGTGACCTACACACTATAATTTTTTACTGTAATATCATCGTAGGGATCCAAATCAAGGAAAACTTTAAATGTTTTTGTGTCCCCATCGCCGATATAATTGGTATATTTGATACCGAGCAATTTCTCTGATCATAAAAAAATTTCTTGCATCGCATCAACTTCCATTTTGCCAGCGCTTCCAGAATAATTCGTAGTACAGTCCGACTTATGTGCGATTATCCACTTGTCATATTCTGATGTTTCTTTCTTAGTGCTCATATTCACACAAGATTTACAAAATGACGACTTCATAACAAGATCGAGCAATTTGTTGCTATATTTACCAATAAGCGACGTCACTCGTCAAATAACGACGAAAAACCTCGTTTCTTCCATGATCCGTCACCGGAAACACTCAGATGTAGTGGTTCATTTCCTGCTGCGGTATTTTTTTCGACTTCTTCCTTATATGCTTTTGATTGGACCAATTCAAAAATAGTTTTCGTAGCGATGTGTATACTGTTCAAGATAACATAATAGGTGAAGTTACGTAATTCTTGAGACATATTCATCAGTGCGCAAAATAAATTTATGCCATATAAGTCCACTCCTAAAAGGCACTACAAAAACAATAAGATGATTTATTTCGTACGATTTATTTATAAGCGGGCATGATTCGTTACGTCGTGAGTCTCGGCATTCACATTCTATGGCAAGTTTGAATTTGAGGTCACGTTCGGTCGTGTGCTTAAATTTGACATCACGTTTGCACTCTTTACTGTAATGTAGCAGTTAAAAATTAAAATACCGAAAAAAGTTTATGATGACTTAATTATGATTTGGATCAAGAGTTATACCATCCCAATCGACGCCAGTCAATTTTTCCGCAGACGTATTCGCAAAGGACGTTTTCTGTCCAGTCTTCTCAGGATTTAGCGGACGTTTGCGTTTACGCACGTCTATTTGCGGGACGCTCATTGCTACTACGTATCATTTTTCGAGCAAACTTCGGCATTTTCAAGAACGTTTTATTCGGATATGCCGACGAACTGATAACAGAACGCTTACAAACAACCACTTACTGACAATTCAGGAGACAGGTTCTAAATTTTTAATAGCAATAGACAATTCACTGTTTAACGTTAAATTAATGCAGAAACAAAGCAGAATGCAAAGCATATATCAGCCTACATAGGGTTTGTGCCAATAATAACTTACACGGATTAATATGCCCATATCTTCTAAACATTTGAGCGCGCTGAGCGAGCGCCCTGCGTCGAGCGCTCCGCGTTCTCCGTTCACTTTTTACGTTTACAACTCCGTGAAAACATCGAATTTTGACAAATGATTTTAGGGATATATTTTCAAGACTTTAAATATTAAGAATATGTAAGAAAACAAAAATCGATTTTTTTGACCTGTTATAGTAGAATATCCCCATAAAGTATTTACAAAGAACATAGTGTGACCTTCCTAACTGTTCTGCGTGCTTCACGAATAATGATTTTTTGCTCTTATTATCTCTTCGTTCTCTTTATATTGGGAAACAAATGCATTTGGCCAAGCGGCACACTGTAATAAGATTAGAAACCTAGCCCAAAGAAGCCGACCGGATATGGCAAGACGTTAGTTCGTTATAAAACGTAGACTCAACATTTTCTCACGGGATTTTGATAACGCAGCGCCAGATACATCTGTTGTTTTCAAAAACATCCATTCGCAAATTGGACGTTTTGGAAAACATTAATTCTCGCCGTTGACTAATAGATGTCAGTAGTTGTGCTATTTCAACATGGTCGAAAGTGACTGTTGATGTATATGAAAGTACTGCCAATAGGCTTTAATAATCAGAGTGTGACATTAGATCGTAGTGCAAAGAATACAATTTTTTATCGCATTGAAGATGTTGGATTTCATACCAAAAAAGAGCATTTGCGGGAAGCATTATTTTTCTGCTTTCATCTGAAGAAATCTGTTGCTGAAAGTCATCGTTTGCTAGTGCTAGTGCTTATAGAAAGCATGCTCTATCTGAAACAACTCTGCAGAGATTGGTTTAGACAATTGAAAGACAACAATTTTGACATGAATGACAAAGAACGCCTTGGTCAGCCGAAAAAGTTTGTAGATGGAGATTTGGAGATATTACTGGAAGAAAATTCATGTCAAACGCTCAAAGAGTTATCGAAAACACTAAATGTCGATAAGTCAACCATTAGCAAATGTTTAAAAGCAAGAGGAATGATCCAGAAGCTAGCAAACTGGGTCCCACATGAATTGAGAGAAAGAGACATTGTGAAACGTTTAACCAATTGTGAATTGCTGTTTCAAAGATAAAAAAGGAAGTCGTTTTTGCATCGAATTGTGACTGGCAATGAAAAATGGATTCGTTACGATAATTCTAAGCGCAAGAAATCATGGATGCGTTCCGGCGAACCATCAACATCAACGCCAAAACAGGATATTTATGGAAAGAAAGTTATGCTGTGCATTTGGTGGGATTAAGTCGGTGTAGTGTACTGTGAGCTGCCGCAACTGAGTCCAATCATCAATGCTGAATGCTGCCGATAACAATTATTCAATTTGAATCGAGCACTCAAAAATAACGCCCGCAATACACCAAAAGACATGACAAAATTACTCTTCTCCATGACAATGCTGGACCACATGTTGTAATACCAGTGGAGGAAATCTTGGAGGTACTTGGATGGGATGTCTTACCCCACCCGCCCTATTCACCAGACGTTGCTCCTTCAAATTACTATTTGTTTCGGTCGATGCAGCATAGCTATTCTGAGCAGCGCTTCAGTTCTTTTGAAGATATCAAAAAATGACCCGTTGACTGGATAGCTTCGAAAGAACCTGAATTTTTCTATCGCGGAATCCATGTGTTACCCAAAAAATGAGAAAAGGTTGTATCTTTCGAAGGACAATGTTTTGAATAAGATATAATGTACCGTTCTTTTGAAATAAACATAAGTTTTTGTAGCAAAAAATAGCGAGAATTAATTCAAGCACCTAGTATAAAGAAAAATGTCGCGATTAGCTATTATTACGCCATAGATTCGGAAAGATATTACAAAGATTATACGATCCTAGAAAAACAGACCATACAACATTCTATCTTCCCTCCATAAACTGACGTAACTCATCCTCACTCCCACATTTGAATCATGCCACATTTTTCTCTCCTCTCACCAGAAAAAGGCGCGAAAACGCAGCGATCCCCTTTCACCCTCATGTCTTGCGTGCACTCTTACGATTTGCCAGCACCTCAAGGACCATATTCAGTCTCCATCCACTTTTCCTCCCGAAGAAGAATACTTTTTTAAAAAACATAGGTCCCTCTCCCCAATCATAGGAGTGGTCAATTGCTGTCTCCTACCCAAATATTGTCATCGCCTCGTACCCCTTAAAACCCAAATGAGAAACCTCCCAACCTCCCACATCTCCTTTCCATGCAGATTGATCTCATTGGTAATCGTTATCTGCCACTCCCAAAATTCTCTTTATAAAAACCCGACTTCCTTGCCGCTTCGGGCATTCTCATCACTATTTTTTCATCTGTATTACCAGTCTGCTTATCGCAGTTACTATTTCGTTATCACACGCGTTCACATATTCTATTCTAGATCCGATAGTTGGGAAGTCAGAAACCCAGTCTTAGAGTTTCTTACGTTATAGTTTTTTATTTGTTACCGTCACAGTCATAGTTATTTCTCATGTGTATAGTGCATTAGTGTTTTTTATTAATTGTCCGACCAGAGCCATGTTCTGCATATTATTTATCACAGTCGATCCACCAGAATTGTAAGTCTTTACTTTTATTTTATATTTATACATGATTTTTAATAATTTCGTTCCAATCTCTGATTCCACTTCACTTCTTAAACATATCTTAAACACACATATATTACAGGTGATTATTATCAACCTTGTATTATATAATGTTATTATTCTCACCATACCGATATGTTAAACATTCTCGTTACGTCAGATTCGATCGTATTACATTAAGTTACAAGGATTATTTTTACTTTTAATCTTCATCTTTTATTTGTATTATTTCGATAACGCTGATTCATAAAAGTTCGATTGATATTAAGCTATATTTTCCATTGTTTAACTTTAACTAACCGTCTCATCTTCTAAAAAAAAGCATCTTTTACAATGATTTTTTTTATCAATTTATTACTAATGTTAATTCATGTTAGAAAAAAACTATGTTATTAGTATAATGAATAAACTTATTTATTCAAAATGTCCTAAATTTAACTAGTTTGTTACATTTATTCATCCATTTCTTTTCAATTATTTCAATCATAAATTCCTTTTCAACACTCATATAGTCCTATTTCAGATAAAGAGATTAAGTTCTTTGATCTAAATAAAGGACTACCGAATATATGTTCTGTAATCGAAGAAAATGGGGCCTTCCGGACCTTGACCTGATTTGCAGACCTGCAAGTACGTTTAGGTTTCGCGATTGCGCGAGTATGCGGCGTCTGTTGCGTATATCCTCTTCCAGGACGTAACATAACAAACCGTTTGATTGTGGATGAAATGCGGTTTTAAAGTGTTTAAACGAAGTTGTTTATTAAACTCTTGCATAACGCGACTAGTGAAATTAGTTCACCTTGAAATAACCGAATCAACAAATGAAATTACTTATGAAAGCAGTAGCTGTGGCCTCAGCGGTGAAGTTCATTAATAGTATAGCGATGGAGTATTTAGTAAGTACGTCTTGAATAGTTAATAAATATTGCTTATCATTATAACATAGCAGGATGCCTAAAGTGACCTTGTCAAATGCACTTCCAGGTGTATCTGTCAAAACTATGGATTGACCATGCGTTTTTAGTCTGACAAGTTTCTTTAACTGGCATGTATAACATACTTGAATGTATTCCTGAAGTTCTTTTTTAAAATTATTTCACCGAAAATTTTGCCGGATTCGTCGATAAGTTTTCGTTATCCTTTGATGTCCATCTATTATTGAAACGTGATTTCCAGCTATGAGGACGTTCTTTTCAGAGGGAACATCATTGAGATTTAGGTAAATGGTTATAGTGACAATTCTATTCATGAAGACATTTTTCAATTTAGCGATTACGATTTCTCAACTCACATCGTCGAATGAATCTATTTTGGAAATACTAAAAAAATTTAATTTTAATTCTAGAACTATGTCCAATAAGAAATAGAAAGATTCCACGAGGATATGTTCGACCCTCGTCGATGACTTTTCCTTAGCAGCCAGTGCTATGAGGAATCTGCCACTGGGTAGAAGCAATACTCATCTCCTAAGGAGCATCAAATCGACCAAATGCGGTACCATGTTAAGGTTACTAAGAATTTGGGCATCTTTATCAAACGACTTAGCATTGAAAGAAAAGAGCGCAACTAGGTTATTTCCTTAAGCAAGAAAACCGTCTCTGCTTTCCTTGACGAGTATTAAGAGTACCTAAGAGTACTGTTTTAAGGTGTAAGTATTATACCTTCTTCGGTGTCTGAAAGATTTGAGTCTTCAGAATGTAAGCGTTCGAGGCCTTCAAAAGAATCAGCGTGAGTGAAATCCGGCAGATCCTCGAGATGGTCACTGCACGGGAAATCTTGGACCTGATCAAATTGATCGTAGGTCATCTCGACGGGTTCCACTGAATCAGCATTTACGGGTCGAGTCAAAAAATGCGAAGGTAGTTCAGCCAGAGGCATGTCACTGAGCGAGGAGTTATTAGAGAATGAATAAGAGATTTCGGGATTTTCACGAAAAGGGATATTAAGGAAGTCGGGAAATTAAGGAGATGGCGGAGTAAGATCTGAGGATACGAGGTCTGTTCAAAAAGTATCGCGAATTGTGTTTTTTCAAAAATTATTTATTTATTCATGAATATCTATTTTGTCTTCTTCAAAGTAATCCTCATCAGATATTATACACTTGTGCCAATGTTTTTTCCAATCCTCGAAGCACTTCAAAAAATCATTTTTTGTGATCTTGTTCAGCTCCTCCTTCGATGCCGTCTTTATCTCCTCAATCGTAGCGTAGCGTCGTCCTTTCATGTGCCTCTTCAGTTTCGGGAACAAGAAAAAGTCACAGGGGGCCAGGTCTGGGGAATACGGTGGCTGCGGCATCATTAGTGTGTTGTTTTT